TGCCTCCCGAGTGCTGGGATTGAAGGTGAGGGCTCCCCTTGGAAGACTTTTTGTTTGTTTGCTTTTTGTTATTTTTTTCAAGAAGGAGTTTCTCTGTGTAGCCCTGGATGTCCTGGACTCACTTTGTAGACCAGGCTGGCCTCAAACTCCTGCCTCTGCCTCCCAGAGTACTGGGATTACAGGTATGTGTCACCAGGGCAGGGGGTTTATTAAGGGAGTCGGGGGAGGGAAAGGCCAGTTCGGAGTGGGGACATGAAGGAGATAGAGACAGACAGACAGAGTGACCAGACAAGACAGAACCAGAGAGAGAGCGAGCTGGAGTGGCCAGGACCTTTTATCCACACACCTGGCACACCTGGCAGCGGAGGGCCCCTGAGAGCAGCCCAGTGGAAATGCCTGATTACTAATACAGAGGTGTGACACCCTCTTCTCAATTCCATGGGCACCAAGCATGTAAATGATACACGTACATATATGAATTCCAAACACATGAAAAAAATCTAAAATAATTTTTTGTTTGTCTTTTATGAGACAAGTTTCTCTATGTAGCCCTAGCTGCCCTGGAACTTGCTCTGAGCCTTGAGCTCTCAGAAATCTCTCTGCCTTTGCCTCCCAAGTGCTGGGTCTACAAGTGTATTCCATCACTGCCAGCTAAAAAATTTGAGATGTATGGCTTCTGGGAAACAACACTCATACAAAATAAAAGGGAGGGGGAAGTTACTGTGTTATTTGTAAGGTATTGGGGGAGGCCCCTTGGAGTGGTACAGAACACACCCAGGCACCAAATTCTCAGCACAAAGATTTATTGGGGTGGGGAGGTTCCTCTGGATCTGACAAAGGCAGGCCACAAGCAGCAAGTGTTTTGTCTTTCTGTTTTAATTTTTTTCAGTAGTGATTTTTAAGAGAAAAAGGGCCAGAGACCATGCATGGATAGAACCTAGAACTCCTGCTCGGACATAGCCCATGGCAGCTCAGTATCCAAGTGGCTTCCCTAGTAAGGGAACAGGGACTGTCTCTGGCATGAATTCTGTGGCTAGCTCCTTGACCTCCCCAGTCCCCCGTGGGAGGTGCAGCCTTGCTAGGCCACAGAGGAGGACATTGCAGCCAGTCCTGGTAAGACCTGGTAAGCTAGGGTCAGATGGAAGGGGAGGAGGACCTCCCCTATCAGTGGACTTAGAGAGGGGCAGGGAGGAGATGAGGGAGGGAGGGGGCTACAGCTGGGATACAAAGTAAATAAACTGTAATTAATATAAAAAAAATTAAAAAATTACTTCAAAAAAAAACAGAGAGAAAGGGGAAGTCTGTGCTAGGATGAGTTGGTAAATCCTGATTGGACATGTTAGCCAAATAATTAATTTGATTGTTGGACCTTGGTGTTGTCTCAGAAGTGAGTTGGTAGCCAAATAAGGGAACAGACCTTGGGAGCTAGCTTTAGGAATAATCCGTTTAGCAAGGTAAAAGGCAAAACCTGTTGACACCATGTTTGCCACGCATGGGCCTGCTAGAGTCCTTCATTACTGCTTTGAAGAGACACCATGACCACAACTCTTTTAAAAGGAAGCATTTCTTTGGGGGCTTGCTTACACGTCAGAGGTTAGTCCGTCGTCATGATGGCAGGAAGCAGACAGGCATGGGCCTGGAGCAGCAACTGAGAGCTTTACATCCTGATCCACAGGTAGGAAGCAGAGAGATGGACACTGGGTCTGGCATGGATGTTTGAAACCTTAAAGCCCGCCCCCAGCGACACACCTCCTCCACCATAGCCACCCTTCCTAACCCTTCCAAACAGTTCATCAGTTGGGGACGAAGCATGCAGATATATGAGCCTGTGAAGGGCATTCTCCTTCAAACCACCACAGGAGCAGGTAGACAGAAAAAATGTCAAAGTGCTAGGCTTTTTTGTCTTGGTTTTTGTTTTTGTTTTTGTTTTTTTGAGACAGAGTCTCATTGTGTAGCCCAGGCTGGCTTCAAATTCATGATCCACCTGCCTCAGCTTCCCATGTGTTTGATGTGAACTCTTTTTTTTTTTTTCCTCAATATGTGTGGGGGGGGGGCGGGGTAGGGCAGGGATAAAGGCAGTGTTCGAAGATCAGAAGACACCCTCAAGGCTCGGTGCTTGGGCTCCTCCACCATGTGTGTGAGAGCAGGCCTCACAGCGGCTTGGAACTGCCCGATGAACTGAGTGTGCAGGTCACCTCTCCTTTTGCCAGCACTGGCACAGGGCATAGGTGCACACCTGCTTTTCTTTCTCTCCCCCACCAGGTTCTATTTATGAGGGCTGGGGACCTAAACTCAGCGGCTTGTGCCTGGGAGGCTCTACCTGCTGAGCCACCCCCCAGCCCTGTGAGCACTGCTATGTGGAGTACAGAAGTCAAGCAAGTCAGTTACTCTAGGGGATGCCTCTGCCCAGTAGTTATTAAACTGATATTTGTTGTCTCAATGTACTGTATTTTATTTTTCATTGAATTCTTGTCCCCAAATACTGTTTCATACACCTGAGAAAAATAAGCAAGGATGCTGATTTTGGGGCGGATCTTGGGCCTTTAATATAAAGGTAGTCTGAGGAGCTGTGTAGGGGCCAGGCCTCCTCCAAGGGACATCCACTTAGCACTGCCTTCTCTTTTAGCCTCCTCTTAGAATTTGTTTAAAATGTATGATACAAATTACAATTTGAGGACAGATGAGTGTGTCGAGTTCAAAAGAAGTGCCAGGCACACATCTGGAAGTACTACGCCTCACACAGAACGTACACACGTGCCCAGCCGTGGGCAGGACTGCATACGCTCAGATAGATTTTAAGGGCAGGGAAATTCTGAGGCTGTAGTATTATTTAGAAGCTGGGCTGCGGTTATTGAGTGAGTCTCTGTACACACGGACTGCCTAAGAGGTGCTGAGAAAACAGCTGTAGATCCCTTGCCTTCAGGTGCTGACAGCTAAATGGCCCTCAGCCTGCAGTCTCCCAGTGGCACCAGGTGGCAGCCTCAGCCACGAGAGGCCCAGAAGAAGAGAGGAAATGGAAATTAGGGGCATAGGTGGCCCAAAGGGACTTACTTCTATGTAGTGAATTAAGCTTATGGGTAGAGGTGGGGTGCCCCAGAAAGAAATTCATCTGTTAACTGTTGTTTGACATCCTAAAGGTGTTACCTTACAAAAAAAGACATGTGGTGTCTAGCCCCTCCCTCTCCCCCCCCCCCAATCAAGCTCAGGTCCCTTGTTTTTAAAGCAAGTACTTTCCTGACTGAGCCACTCCCCAGACTCCAATCCGCAGAGGTCAGGGACAAATTAAGTGTCTCCTGGGGCGCAGGCCAGGTGAGCAGAGGCAGCTTGTATGCATTCTGCCCCCCTGTTCCCATGGTGTGATGTGGGTGTAGGAGATCATGGATGTCTCAGGATAGCTGTCTAGGTGTGGGCTTGCCTCTGCTACAGCGTACTCCTTGAGCTTGTCACACAATACTTGCTTGGGCTTGATCCAGGGGAGGACAGGTGTGTGGAGCTGGGTCTGAACAATGTCAGGGTTTCTTCAGGGTTTGTGACCCACTCATCTCTCTGTAAGCCCTGTCACAGGGTGTCATCTTGTTTCAAAAAATAGTTATTTGGGGAATGAAGTTCTGTGTGGTCAGAAGGGGCTAGAAGTGCCACTCAGGCTTTGCTGAGGTGACTACACAGACATGAATGAGGCTCTTCTGTCAGGATGTTGATCCTGTGTAGATCTGTCACTTCCCCTAGAAAATGTTAGGCCTGTTCATTTCCTTTTATGTTACTTGAGTGCTGGCTGGACAGGCCATGGGTATAGGGTGGGCTGCTGTTTGCAGTCCAGGATCTTAGAAAGACATATCCCACAGGGTTTTCCCAGCCCAGGAAGAACTTCATGTTTTCCAGTCTGTGGTTGGGTGGCCCCTGTTCACAGCTACTCTTGTTCACCCATCCGTGTTGTTCCTAGAAGCTGGGCTTTGTGTGTCGGACGTTTGCTGCCCTCGGGGACAGATGGAGTTGGCAGGGCTAACCTTGTGTCTTCATGATCCAGCGTAGGAAGAAATCGTAAGGATTAACACATCTGTGTGACTTCTGGAGTTAGGAAGGGATGCTGGAAATGGCTTTGTGGTCGGCCCAGTAAAGAAGTCGGTCCTTACAAAGCTTCTCTGTCTTGCAGGGTCCGTAAGTAACCGTATTTCAGAAGCCAGACAGAGGCTAAGGATTCAGGGTCCCTGAAGTCCCAGGAGCCATCCGTTGGGGAGCGCTGGACCCATATTTCTCTGCTGGGTGTTGAGTTGGGGAGCAGTCATAGTTTTTTGGTGTCCATAGAGGGGTCTTAATCTTTGGTTAGTCGATGGAGACTGTGACAGGGTGGGGCCAGGACCCAAGGCGGCCTCTTCCTCTTTTCTTCAGGTTGTAGCCCCTCCTCTTAAAGAGCCCTCAGGGCTTCTGGTGCTTGGCTGGAGCACAGAGGGTGCGGTAACTTTAACACTATCTAGTGTGGCTCCTCCTGTCCCTCCGCCCTCAGCAGGAACAGAGCCCCTGCCTGCTCTGAGACTGAGGCTTCAGAACCTAGCCAAAGCTGGAGGAGTTGAAGACCAGAGCCCAGAAACTGGACTGGGACTGTTCTCGTGAGTGAGTGAGCTGATAGGAGCCACAAGTGGGACCCGAAGCAGCAGGCAAGCTTTTCAGGAAGCTCTCCCCTCCCCTGTCCCTGAGGGTGGGAGGTCTGGGTGGGAGTGCCTTCTAGCACTTGCTTTCTAGTTGGCTCTTTCACACACACACACACACACACACACACACACACACACACACACACCCGAACTCAGTAATACCTTTGGACTCTCTTGCTCTCTTGCCCCACCACCCCACCCCAGGCAGTTAGGCTGCCTCGGCTCACTTCCTCCACATCCTGTAGCTTCTCTGGTCCTCAAAAGGCTGGGCAGGAAGTGAGCAAGATGCTGGGAGGTGTGGGAAGTACAAGCAGGCATTGGGGGCGGCCCTGGGCTCCCAGCATGCATTTCTCCTGTGCTGCCTCGGGCCTGGAGCCTGGGCACTCCAAGAAGAGGGAGGCATCCCTATAGGGGGTTGAGGACATGCTGTCTCTGCTTTGGGGCACAGGTACCATACATAGATTGTCTGAGAGAAAACTCTCTCTCTCTCTCTCTCTCTCTCTCTCTCTCTCTGAAAAATCAAGGAAGACTTGTCTGTCCCGCTACCCCACTCCACCCCACCCCTCAGCTGTTGACTTGTTGACAGGTCATCTCTTTGTCTCCTCTTTCTTGCTCATGACTTCCCAGAAGAATTGCTGGGTTTGCCCAGGGAGAATCCATTTTCCTGCCCTCTACCGAAGTTCTGTCTACTTCCAGCCCAGGAGAATAGAGCAGGAGTCAGCTGCCTCCGGGGACACACCTGCCAGGCAGCGCTGACTTAGAGAGCCGGGAAGGAACGGCCCAAGCTCTCCGGGGTGGGGTGGGAGTGGGAACTGAGCAGAAGTGGCATGGTCTGGGACACCGGAGGGCTCTTGTTCAGGAAGGGCTTCTTAGAGTCTTCCTGCTTTTCATCTCCTGCCCAAACCAGAACCCACCAAGTCAAGAATAGGAGGGGTGCACACACCCCGGAGCACACCTGAGCACTCCCCCGCAAGCACACGTGCCCACTTCATACCCCACCACTCCTACCCTGCACACCTACAATAACTGCTAACTGGCCCTGTCCACTTGTGGACTTCAGTTGGAATGTTCCATTCCACTGGGGACCAGATATCCTTGCCTTTGTTCCAAGTAGTGGTAGACGGAGGAGGACATGGTCTGAGCTCCAGAACAGCATGTCCTCACCGAACTAGCTCTGTCCCCATATGCTTCCATTAGCCCATACTTCCTGCTTACTAGGCAGAACTGGCTCATATTTTGGGATCCTCTTTTCAGAGTTGCCTCTTTTTTGCCTTTTCATAGTGTGTTTCCTTTGCTGGAAAGGGAGGTAAGACTTGGGGAGCTTTGGGGTTGAGGTAAGGTTACTCAGGCCTTGGTTGTAACCATGTTCTGAGTCTCAGGTGGGCAGAGGAAGTTGGCAGAGGAGTTTTACTTCTGTTTCCAGATGAAGGAACAGGCTGGGAGAACAGCCTTGACAACCAAGGTCTTGACCAGCTCTCAGAACTATAGTGAACAGATTTGTGCTTACATAGATCCCATAGTTCTCATGTACCAGGTGACTGGTCCTCAGGCCGTGTAGTAGCTTTAATGTCTGGCTGAACACACTCTGCACTAGCTTCGCCAGGTAGTACTTGACTCTCAGAAGGGACACGTATCAGCACTTGGCCTGCTTTTCAGGGCTCCTGCTTGCCCAGGACTTGCCCAAAGCCCTGAGTACTCAGAGGCCAAGGGATTTTGCAGATGGAGGGTGGTGTGGCCCTAGGAAGGGGGAAGGATGGAAGCATTGAGGTGGCTCGGCTTTGGAGGTGAGGCAGTAGACTGGAGGGGCCTGTCTGTGTCCTTGGATGTCACTCTAGACCGGACAGACAGGACTCAAGTCACCTTGTTCCCTAAGGACTGTGTAGGATCTGTTTTTGATGTTTTTAGGAAATGTTTGCACCCAGGCATTCCAGTGAAGGAGAAAAGGATGTGGCAAAGGCAAGAACACGCTGCTCATCCATGCTGGCACTGTGGGCAAGTGCAGGTTGGGTGCCTTGGTCCCTCAGGCTCAGTGCCTCTTCAAGGAAGCAGCTCCTTGCCCTAGGCCCTTAAGCTGTCCTGCTGAAGCCAGAGGGAACCCAGGCTACCCTGTCCTGTGGGCCACCCAGCTTGTTGAGGGCCCCAGCCTAGAAGGACCTGACTGGTCCCTCGTAGTGCTAAGGGAGATAGAAATCTGTATGAGTCTCAGTTGAGAACCTATGTTTTAGCTGAGCTAGATTTGCAGGCTCATGTTCAGAGCTGCTAGAGTTAGCATCCTATTTGGTAGGACAGTAAGGAAAACGTGACAGGAAACTGAGGTATCTTGGGTTCCCTGCCACATTCCACAAGGTCATGCTTGTTTCCCCATTAATTCTGGGTGTGCTCTGCTCCTGTTTCAAAGCCTAGACTTTATAGAGCAAGGGAAGAGCATCTGAGAGTCTGACAGCAACTCACATGATAGCACATCAGCCCTGAGCCCATTTCCATGGCCAGTACGAAACTCATGCACTCAGTGTAGGAAGAATGGTCAGAGCACACTTACTATCATGATTGGAAAGTTAGCAGGAGGCTCCTATGAGCCTAAAGTAGAAGCATGGCGTCCCTAAAGCCTGGCCCTGGCCCTTGGATAGGGTGCGGCTCCCACGTGTGCTGATCTGGTGTTGGCATCTTTTGAGAGAGGAAGTTTGAGGACCTTTGTGTGTTGGAATAGGCCATTCCTCCACTTCCTTATCACAGGGAGAGATCTGTACATACCCAGGCCTTGGTGGCCTTGTCTCTTCTCCCAGAGGCCACCAGCATGGGATTCAGCAGTTTTTACAGGCAGTGCCTGGGCTGGAATTTTCACACTCTTTGGCTGAAATGAACTTACCAGTGTCACACACAAACCCTTGTAAAGAAAGATGGTATGAGCTGTCACCACACGTTGCCTAGCACACGTTGCCTGAGTCTGTTCTGTCTCAGGGAACAACTCTTGAGGCTAGCATGTCTTCATCTGAAAGTGGTGACAGATGCTATGTCTGTCCTTCCAGTACTTCCAGGGCTGTGACTGAGACTGGAGAGCAGGTGTATGGGCTTCCTAGCCCCTGTGAACTCTCTTCCTCCCAGGACCTTGAAGGTTCTGGGCTGAGACGGCAGCAGTTGTGGAGGAGAAGTTACTCTTCTCTCCCTGTTATCTGTACAGTGGGGAGGCTGTGACCACGTGATGGGCCCTGAAGATGGCCATGGTGCTTTTTTGGAGGAAGATTGAAAGAGTGTGCTAGGAAGAGTTGGGCTTCAGTGCTGGCTGCTGGCCAACTGCAGGTTGGTTTTCTGTGAGATAGCCTAGGTGTACAGCGTGTGAAGAGGTCTGGATTACAGAATCAGGCACTGGAGGCCTCACGGCCAGGAGGGCTTACAGCGTGTTACAGTGCCCAGGTACACGCCATGTCCTTCCCTGAATGTCCTGGCCAGCTGCCCCCTCTGTCATTCCTCAGATGCTACTTTGTTACTTGAATGGAAAATGGGTCAGGTCCTCTGAGGGAGGGGCCATCCGCCTGGAGCAGAGGGCTCAGATTCCCACCTTGTGCTTTCAGAACTCAGTGGCGCCTAGAAGTCGTGGCACTGTCTGGTCACCTCTTCAGCAGGCTGCCTGGAGCGCACAGCCCAGGGCTTCACCCCCTTGCTGCCCTCCAGCAGAGCAGGGAGAGCTGCACGGGACAGCTGGCAGGAACCAGACAGCTCTGGCAGCAGAGCCTGAGCAGGTGACCTGAACAGAAGCCCCAAGCACGTGTGTGACTAGTACTTGTCTGTTTGCAATAGCTGTGGTCCTCCAACCCGGGCCTGTGAGCCACCGAAAGTGAAGCATTGCCGCCAGCAACTGGAGCAGTGACCGCACTGAAGTTCCTCTGGTGAGGGGGAAGGGGAGGAAGGAGAAAAACAAAGGCCAGTGAGTGAGCAAGCCAGCAAGCCAGCACACTCTCTAGCGCACTCTCGTGGAGGCTCACAACACGCTCCCTGTGCCTGCCCCCTGATGTGTCAGTCAGAGAAGCGGCAAGGACCAGAGCTTCAAGCAGCAGCGAAATGGTGAGATGCTGCCCACCGAGACCTAACCCTATGTGCCCTGGCACAGTCTCAGGCAGGTCAGATGTCAAGCCCAGTGGTCCCAATGTGGAGGTGGCAGTAGGGGGTCTGGGAGTGACCCCCTCGGCAGAAGGGGCCTGGAGAGGGGTTCCTGAGTGCCATCAGGTATCTATGGTTCTGGCTGTGAGGAGGGACCGGTGTGGGGAGACAGCAGTGGGCTTCTGCCCTATGTCTTGGTCCTTAACAAGGGCACCGAGGCCCCCTCCTCCTACTACACTGCTTCTTATGCTTGGGAGAGCCCCCCCCCCCAAGCTCTGCGGGATTGGTCTCTGTTCTTCTGCAGTGACTTGGGTGGGGCAGCCTGAAGGAGAACAGGGATTTGTCTTTGCTTGAGCCCTTACACCTCCCCTTGTGTGTTACAAAGATAGCAGCGTCTAGAAGAGAAGGAAGGAATGCAGGACCTTGGTTGCTGTGGTCCTAGTGCCTGTGCTTGGGCTCAGCCCTCCTCTGTCCCTGGTGGACTGCCAGCCACTCGCCAGCTCTCTGCTGAAATCCCCTTTTGTTCTTGGTTTTCTCAGTTTCTAGGAGACAGAGGACTCTTAAGAGCACAGTTCAGATGGCAGCCTTAGCTTTTTTAATCAAATGTGGTTTTTCAGACAAGAAGCTGAAGCCTGGGGACATTTTCAGAGTGGGTGGCAGTATGGTCTCATGATGACTACATTGAGGCCTCGGGAGTATTCTCTAGGACCTAACTGTGACAGGGATCTTAGTTGCTTGCATTCAGAAAGCCAAATGAAAAGGCCTCTGTGCCTTTGCAAAGCTGGCTGAATTTGTAAAACGGGTGGGTCCCCTGGGTCATACTCGTGGCTCTAACAGAGCAGGGAGGTGGTGTGGAAGTAGGTGGAGAGCCTCCTCCTAGCCCTGTGGATGAGGTTTGGAGAGACACGGGTGGATGGAGCCACAGCTATGGCCTATCACTTAGAAGAGAAAGCAAAAGACCTGAATGTTTTTCCTGGTGCCACAGTGGAGTACAAACGACTCGGCAGGTGTCGCCCATCTGTCTAGGCTCATCGCACTGCACCTGTGATGGCACCTTTCTGGCACCTATCCTTGGGTCCCAACTATCCTTAGAGGCTGTAGTGTAAGGCAGGTTCTCTCGCCTTCTCATTCTGGGCCCCCCAAGGCCTGTGCTAGGGTTGCTGCTATACTAGGAGGATGCTCTACCTTAGAGGTACCAGGAGTTCGGTCTGAACTGCCTTTGTCCTGCCCACTCAGTCAGCCTGCGGGGGTGGGGGAGAGACACTGGAAAAACGAGCCCACTAGTCAGGCAGCCAGGCCTCTGATGCAGAACCAGGGTTGGTTGGAACGAAACAGACACTGGACTGCCTGCTGGAGCTCTTTGGCTCCACTGGAGGGAGAAGGGGTGGAGTTGGGGAGGGGGGAGCAGGAATGGCACTGGCTGAGGGGGTTGCTCCTCAGTTTCCCTCAGACCCAGGCCATGTGTGGACATGTGTCCTGCAGGTTGCACTTCCCCCAACTGGCCCTACGGCGGAGGCTAGGCCAGCTGAGCTGCATGTCCAGACCTGCTCTGAAACTACGCTCCTGGCCCCTGACCATCCTCTACTACCTCCTGCCCTTTGGTGCTCTCAGGCCCCTCAGCCGGGTGGGATGGAGGCCCATGAGCAGGGTAAGTGTGAATGTGCCCCTTGGCCATGGCCCTCCCTAGACAGGCCTGAAGTTGCAGCACAGGGAAGACAGAGAAGGAAACAAGCTATCAGTGGCTGTACTCTTGGGTAGATATGTCTGAAAAGGTTGCTTCGTTGGTGGCCCTGTGAGAATCTAGCTGGTGTCATTGGGAGCTCTGGTTTTAGAAGAACTTACATTGATCAATGAGAAAATGCCCCTCTGACTCTGACAGGCAGAAGAAAGCAGAGGCGATTTTAAGAGAGATCCAAGTAAATTCTGGACCCCAGAGAGCAGTTTAGGAAGGTTGGGCTAGGCTGGCTAGGCTGGGCCTATTAGTTTGGAATCATGCTTCAAAAGCTCAGGACTGCACAGGTGCCTGCCCCAGGACGCAGCCAGCATGTACTTGAAGGCCTCTCTTGCCCTCAACTTCTTGACAGGCTGGCCCGAAGAAAGAGGCCCTGCTCTCTGCCTACTGCTCTATGTGGGCATCACAAATGCCCACGGGACTCCTGACACCAGGGCACGCCCTGGGGCCATTTGACGGTCTTGCTCTGCCCGAGTGGCTGGGCATCAGCCAGGAGACACCAATTTAGTATGGGGAAGCCAGGCTTGGTGGCACACACCTTTAATCCCAACACTTGGGAGGCAGAGGCAGGTGGATCTCTTGAGTGCCAGGCCAGCCTGGTCTACAAAGAGCCCAGGACTCTGTTACACAGAGAAACCTTGTCGGGGGAGAGTGGGAGGAGCTTGGTAAAATGACTTCAGCTCAAGATTTCGGCAGGACCCTCTGGCCCAACAGTGGGACTGGTTAACTGTCCCCTAGTGCTCCATACTAGGCTGATATCAGAAATCTCCTCCTGCCTCTGTGGAGAGCCCATGGCTTGCTCAGGTGCAGAAATATCAGGGCGATACTACAGGTCTGGTGGCGAAAACACCATCCTTGCTTCCTGGGAAGACAATGCTCTCTGGACTGTACGCCTGCCCCTTGTTCTTGGGAGCCTCCTGATGCTTTTGAGTAGTCTGAAATGTGGGCAGTAAGCAGAGACAAGGCTAGCAAGCCTCCTGATACAGTTTTTTAGGCTTGTACCAGATCTGTTTCCATCCCTCACCTCCCATTTTCAAGAACCAAGAGTTCTTTGCATGAAATAGCAAAAATGATCCAGGCTATATGTGTATCCAGCCCTTGTTTGAGTATTTGGTGAGCACAGTCTGGTTCCTTCTGAGAAACAGCCACCTCACAAACCAGCCTGAATACTTGGGCCTTCATGGTGGCTTTTCCTCCCTCCCTCTCCTCTCTCGGGGTTGGGGTTGTATGAAAGCACTCAGTTTGTGACCAACTCAGCCTCCTGTACTATGGCCTGCAGGTGGCCCTGTACAAGTCGGTGCCAACGCGTTTGCTGTCGCGTGCCTGGGGCCGCCTCAACCAGGTAGAACTCCCTTACTGGCTGCGGAGGCCAGTCTACAGCCTGTATATCTGGACCTTTGGGGTGAACATGGCAGAGGCTGCCGTGGAGGACCTGCAGCACTACCGAAACCTCAGCGAGCTCTTCCGGCGGAAGCTGAAGCCTCAGGCACGGCCTGTCTGTGGCTTGCACAGTGTGGTAAGGCCTGGCCCTCATCTAGTTCTTCATTGGGAAGTGAGATCGTTGTCTGCCTTTATGCCAGGCTTAGCAGCACCACCTGGCTGTGGCCCTCTGGGCTGCTCTCTCATGTCCTGATGTGTCAGCATGTCCTGGACTGGGGCTCCCGAGATGTTTGGCAGGTAGACTTCTGGGAGCCTCTGAAGTCGAGGCCTTATCATCAGGCCTCTCTCTCTCCTCCAGATCAGCCCATCAGATGGCAAGATCCTCACCTTTGGGCAGGTGAAGAACTGCGAGGTGGAGCAGGTAAAGGGTGTAACCTACTCCTTGGAGTCGTTCCTGGGCCCTCGAGCCTGCACAGAGGACCTGCCCTTCCTTCCAGGTGGGTCATTGCTTAGTTGGGTTGGGGCTGAGGTAGAGGTCAGAGGCTAACAAAGGGCATAAGGGGCCAGAAGGATACAAAGGCTGGAGAGGCTGGCATGTAGCCAGGAGCCCTCACCAGAGCCTGCAGCTAGGCTGCATGCAAGCCATGGACCTGGTGCTGTGGGATCAGTGGCACCTGGAGCTTATCAAAGAGCCAGGCATTCTTTCTGCTCCACCCCACAGCCTCTTCCCGTGACTCCTTCAGGAAGCAGCTAGTCACCCGGGAAGGGAATGAGCTCTACCACTGTGTCATCTACCTGGCCCCAGGAGACTATCACTGCTTCCACTCCCCCACTGACTGGACTGTCTCACATCGGCGTCACTTCCCAGGTATGCCCAGGGCTGGCTGAGGCAGGGAGACACCTCTGTGGGCATTAGACTTGTGGGCCTGTTGACTTGAGAGGACTGGGCTCTTGGCTGGTGTTGTCAAGGCCAGGAAATGACCACTTGAGGCTGGCTGGGTTATAGGCAAGGGTGCCTTGGGTCCTGCTTAGAATTTGGAACACTTGGCCTGTGGCCTGTGAGTCCCTGTGGCTCTTGGCCATTCTGATGTGAACACACCTGGCTTTGAGCAGAAAGTGCTATGTTCTCCTGACTCCTAGGTTCCTTGATGTCCGTGAACCCTGGCATGGCCCGTTGGATCAAAGAGCTCTTCTGTCACAATGAGCGAGTGGTCCTAACTGGGGACTGGAAACATGGGTTCTTCTCGCTGACGGCAGTGGGAGCCACCAACGTGGGCTCTATCCGCATCTACTTTGACCGGGTGAGTAGAGCCCCCAGGCCAAACCCCTTGGGTCCAGCCATTCCATTTGCTATGCAGCCAGATCTTTGCCGGCTCTGCTGAGAGCAGCTGCTCTGTAGGCACCCATGCCAGCTCAGCCTCCCTGTCTCTGAAGATGGCTGGAGAGGTGAAGGACCCAGCTCCACTCCCAACATACTCTTGTGCCAGGAGCCATGGTCAGAGGCAAAGATGGAACACGCACGAGGGTGTAGTTGGCTTGAATGAGAAAATGTGGCACCCACCCTGCCTTTTTAGGTGTTACTAACTGCTGCTGGTGCTAGCCTTGCACCATTTGTGCTTGGATGAGTCTTGGGCCTGACTGCACCCTCCTTGTCTAGGGCACAGCAGATATTGGGAATGTTGATTAGTGACAGGCCTTTGCCCTGAGATGCTGTGTCTGTCACCTTCTCTGAGCTGGGCTGGGCAGGGTTGAGGTCAGGCAACAAGGCCAATTACCCTTTTATTTCCTGCCCATAGGACCTGCAAACAAACAGCCCCAGGTACAGCAAGGGTTCCTACAATGACCTGAGTTTTGTGACACACGCCAACAAGGAGGGCATTCCCATGCGCAAGGGCGAGCAGCTGGGCGAGTTCAACCTGGGCTCCACCATTGTGCTCCTCTTTGAGGCACCCGAGGACTTCAACTTCAGGCTGAAGGCAGGGCAGAAGATCCGCTTCGGGGAAGCACTGGGCTCCCTCTAGTCGCCTTGGTTGTGGCTCCCAAGGGATCTTTCCACACAGGAGCATGAGGGTCTTCAGAGGAGCCCCAGGCTGTCCGAGTGAGGGGCACTGTGGGGCTGACCTCGTAGGACCTGAATGATTTGTTCCTGCATGTCCAGAGGTGCAGAGGAAAGGTTCTGGATCTCTCAGGACCTGGCCCCTTTACAGAGTATGGGTGGCTGTGACTTGACCTCATAATCACTTTGAGAGGATTTTAAAAATTCACTGTAAGCAGAGACCCGCCATCTCCTGGCCGCGCGTTGTGAGAATGGTTGCGTGCTACCATACCCTCTAGCTGCGCCTCGCACCTGTCTCGGGGCCTTCTGTTTGCCTCTTCTGCTCATGCTGGTTTCTCTGCCTCCCCTCCCTGTGCACAGGGTGAGGTGCCTCCTTGGCACAGACTGGATCTACTGTCTTCCTAGAGCAGGCCACACGGCCTTCATAACGGCTTTCTTTCTGATCACAAATTCACTTGTCTGCTTGCTGGAAAAGTAAAATCATTTATATGTTGCTGAATGTGTTGTCCTAGACTCTGCCAGTGTCTTCTGGGTCAGTGACTAAATGATGTAGACCTTTGTAGTCCCCAAGGACTGACCTTCCTAAGCCAGCTGAGTCCTTTCGCTGGTAGGCATTATCTGACCTGCCTGGCAGGTCCAGAAAGGGGAAGGTGGAGGCCCAGCCCTGCAAGAAGCAGGGAACATGCTGCTATCGGTCTGTTGCTGTGTTGAGGCAGGTGGAATGGTGAACAGAGCCTAAGAAAATGGTTTCAAGTAGCTGCTGGGTATGCAGGCTGTGAGAACCCAGTGGTAAGGACAAGGCCAGATTTCATGTTCATCTTGGGAATGCCATGAATTTCTCCTACAGGAGAAATCATTGAACTTTTCAACTGTATCAGTAGCACAGTATTTTGTATGAAGAGTAGGAGACTTCTGAACAGTAATTCATTTAATTGCGAGACATTTTGAAATTAAAAACAAAACCAAACCTGTTGTATTTTTGCATCTTTTGTTGAAGGTGGGGTGGGGGTGGGAACATCTACGGCCTTATGAAGGCTAGCACCTGTCCCCCAGGGGCAAGCCCCCTAGCACAGAGCCTGTCTCAGGGCCCGAACACGAGCAATGCATGCACCGATTGGCTGACGCTGGGCCTGGAGCTCTTCAGTCAGCTGCTGGATCTGTACTTCCACCTGGGGCCAGGGAAGGGACAGGTGAGCCGAAGGGAAGCACAGCCCAGGAGCTGGCCCTGGGGCTGACCTGGGTCTTACCTCCTCCAGTTCCTTTTTCACCTGCTGTTCTAGATCCAGGTCCTCAGACCTGGGCTCCTCCTGGCTTAGCTCCAGCCACCTCCGCAGGCTGTTGGCTTGTCGCTGGCATGACCTGGGGATGGGGACACCTGCTGCCTATTGAGCTGGGTTCTTGGCGTAGCCTTAAGGGAGCCCTTTCTGGCTTGAAGAGGCATATTGGCTAATACTGAAGGACCACAGTAGAGACAGAGTGGAAGGCCCCTGCTCCAAGCTGCAGACAATGGCTGAGGAGAGCAATGCTCTTCCGTCCTCTCCAGCAAACAATTCAGGTAAGCCCATGTGAATACTACTCTTCCTGTCCCTTTTTAAGGGACCAGTCTTTTTCACTCAGGTCTCTGAAAGCTTCTCTATGTCAACAGGGCCCAGAGCACTGGCTGTAACTAGGACCCGGGCCCATGCTGTCTGTACCTTGTCAGCATTACAGTTATGGTTGCTGAGTGGGTAATAGAGTCTTGCTTGGCTTTACTATCCTCCAAATGGAAAGAAGGCCTTCCAAGCCTAGGTGAGGCCAACTTGACCCTTCTAAGAGGAGGTAGAGCTGCCACAGGACACTCACACCAACCCCCAGAGTCAGAATACCAAAGGGGTCCTGCCGGCCTCTGCTGGGGGGTAGGGCCACCTGCCTTTCTGAGCCACGGCTATTCCTGTGGACAGGTCCCAGGGCAGTTGGTGGGCCTCACCGGAGGTTCTGCTTGGTGTTCTGGTAGTGCTGTAACTGCTGCTGAATCCCCTCTAGCTCAGCCTCAAGCTCTGTGTGGCCTGCAGCAACAAGAAGACAAGTGTGACCTTTCCCGCCGTCCCCCTTTAGAACCAAGACTGGCAGGGTGGAAGGTGGCACCTCCTTTGACCTACTCACCTGTAGCCTCGGAGCCATGACTAGGCCTAGTCCTGGTGCTTGGGGAGTCTCCAGGGAGGAAGAGGTGGGGATTGGGGCCCCTGGTTAGGGATGGGCATGCTGGAGGTTGAGGTCCATGGATGCTGGGATTGGCTGATACCTGTAGAGGAAGAAAGGGTGGATGCTGAGCAAGGAAGCGAGTGGGGACCTGGGAAGTGAGTCCTGCCTCCATTCACTGCCCACAAGCCTTGCAGTGACAGAGGCTGACTAGCCAGCACACACACAGCCTTGTCCTGCCCGTTTGTTGGAAGGTGACACACTGAGAAAGCCTCAGAGTCTTCACTGTTGGGTGCCACTCCCGTGTAAGGGGATTCCTAGTGCTGCCCAAGGGACAAAGCAGCAGTTCTTCACTTCCCATCCATTCACCTCACTCTGCTCAGCTCACAAGCTCAGCTCAGCCTCAGGGGAAAGACTGATCGAGGGCAGTGCTCCCTTCCCACCACTCCTGCACCCCCAAGTCTTCTCTTCAGTGGGCACGCCACTATTTTTAAAGTATTTGTTTACTTATTTACTGCGACAGTCTTGCTGTGTAGCCTGGGCTGGTTTTGAGTTCACGGGGATTAGGTCTGTGTCACTTCTGCTACCAGTTCTCCCCTGTCAGCACCAGCTTTTAGGAGGGGAGTCAGTTCTGCCGTCTGTTCTGAGGAGCATCCTGGTACTCTCACAGTCCCTGGCTGCCTCTGCCCAGGACCCTCTGTCCCCTGTGCTCTTCTAGACGACCTCTGCCTAGCACTGCAGACACTCAGCCTTGTTGCTCTCTCCCAGAACTGATTAGGGTGAAAGAGACCAACTGCACCACCAGACAGTGGGCTCTGCCCCAGTTTCCGTCTTTTAGTAAAAGAATTCTGCCGTAAGTAACCGTGGATCTCTCTCACGTCCCATTCCGTACCTACCACACCAAGTCCTGCCTCATTGCCCCCACAGACCGTCCCCACCACAGTGAGAAGCCCAAGCCAGAACACCAGCACATCTGCCTCATCGCACCAAGGCTCCTGGCTGCCCCACCACTTAGTGCAAGTCCAGGCCAGAGGTGGCGGCCTGCAACGGCCCCTCGTTTCTTCCTCTTCCCGCTCCAGGCCTCTACAGCCCTCCTGTCCCCAAGACCAGCAGCCCTGCTGGGAGCCTGCCTGTAAGGTTCTTCTAGCCATCCCACCGCCGAACATTTCTCAAGGGTTGGGGGGTTGGCAGGCTGCTTTGCGCACACACTGCGCACAGGCCTGGTGTGCAGGGCACCCAAGCTTGTCCAGGGACCAGGGTGTTCCAGAAAGAAGAGTAACAGGGGTGTGAGGGAGGAAGAGCACCAAAGGAGCGAGAGTGCCAGGCCCAGTGGAGGACTCACCCTGGCAGTGCCTCCTGCCCCACGGGGCAGGAAGGAGGAAGGAGGCAACAGCTCCAGGTCTGGACTTGCTGTAGAAGGTAGCTTCGGACCAGGAACATTTGGCAGGACCCCAGGCAAGAAGGGCCTGGACAGGGAAAGGCCTCCTGATGGAGCCAGGCTTTCGGCCTTTTCCGGGGGCTTCTCTAACCTGAGCAGAAGGCAGGCAGGGGCTGGTCACTCCATGGACCCTTTCCCTGGATTAAAGGGGCCACACATCCAACAAAATACAGGACCCAGATAAAGTCCTGAGCACTTTTGAGGACTCAACCATTTCACTTACTGCTGCTCCCCAAGGGTGCACCATCCTGGGGACCTCTGGGTCCTCAAATGCTCTAGCAGGAAGGACGGAAGTCGTGGCTGTTTCCGTGATAAGCGGGCCTCCTTGCTGTAGAGAAATAAGTCTGTTCCTTGGACTGACAAGATCTGCAGGGAGACCTGAGGTCTCACTAAGGTTCCATCCTTGCCATTTTACAGGGAGACATGTAGTAGGCCTGAGCCTAGACAGCTTGATGTAATACAGTCTGCCTGACCCATGGGTGCTAGAGCCGCGCCAGTGTCTTTTGACCTGCACAGCCAGCTGACAATATGGTGTTCTTTCCTATCAGAAGGGAGAAGCCTCTGAGATGTTCAGAGTCCTGTCAAGGTTAGTGACGAAGGGGGCGGCAGGCCCAGAACCCTCTACCCACTGTGAGTGCTGGTTACTCTGGGAATGACAACTGTCTCGGCAAGGGTGGTACGCACAGGGCTGAGAAAAGCCATCCAAGGAGGTGGAGAAGTGCTCAGGTACCCACAAAAGGTGGAGCTTCTGACAGGGAAGCAGGAAGACTGCAAGCTTAAAGCAAGGCATGAGGGCTGACGGTTGAGTGTCAGAGAACAGGGAGAAGCAGATATCATACTGCCTCCCTGATGCCCTGGAAAGAGCGGCCTGACAGAGAGGCCTCTGAGCAGCCATGATGTGGCAAGGCTGCTGGTCCCTCACACGAGCTCCCGGCTTCTCTGGGGCTAGAGGCAGAGGGGAGCTCAGGCTACTTACAGCTCTAGGAGGCAGGGCTCCCCCGAAGCTGCTGCCTCGCTGTCCAGGCCGCGCTGACACGGGGGAGCTCGCGGCTTCTCTGTCTCCAGGGTGGCAGCCCCAGCCCCAGCGGCAGCCCCAGAGAGAAAGGAATCCTTAAATGTCACTCTCCTGCCGAAGGTGACAGCTGCTGCTGGCTGACCCGTCCTGCCTGGACCAAGGACCTTCTTTTTCCAGAGCTCAGCACAGTGGCGGACTGCACGGTGGAGGCTGTGGGCTGCCTGCAACACAGCTTCCCATCAGCCCCTGCCCTGTGCTGCCCTGCCAGCGCCCACCAGCAGCCCTGGCTCACCTGGAGCTGCTGCCGGGCCTGCAGCTGCTGCCGGGAGGCCTTCATACCAGCTGCAAAGCGCAGGAGCCGAGTGGCGCCCTCCTGCAGGAGCTGCTGCTGGTAGGCTTGCACGGCTCTTTCCAGCCGTGCCTTCTTCCTCCTCTTCTCAAGTACAAAGCCCAGCCATGCAGTCCACACCTTGCAGAAGAGAGGGCAAGAGATGGGGCTCAGGCTCATGTGGGATCCCATGACCCAGCCCACACAGCCCCTGAAGGGAGCTGTAGAACCATTACCTTTGCCTGTAGTGAGAAGGCCCAGAACCATAGTGCCCGGGCTGTGCCCCGCTGCTCTTGCTTCCTGGCTGCCAGCTGTGGGCCAGACAAAGTTATTCAGAGGCATGCACGGGCAACACGGCCATGGCCACTCCCAGCTCGCCAGTCTCTAGCTGAAGCATCTACCCTCCTACTAGGAAGGAATCAGACCCTGACCTCATCCTGACCTTGAGATATTCAATATATTCAGCGTCTGTAGACTGAAAAATGACAGTCGACAGGAGGAATGCAAAGAGTAGTGGGAATGGTGAATGGAAGGAGTGGACTGGGCTCCCAGAGCAGAGCTGTGGAGTTAGGGGCAGAGCTGGCAGGCAGCGTGGCAGAGCAGCCCATGAACTTGGCTTTGCTGAGCACATTGTGTGTGGCCTTCTGGTTTTCATCAAGACCCCAACACAGACTTAAAGTTGATTTCACATTCATTTTCAGATATTATTGCAAAGTGTTTAGGATGACACTAAGGGAAATCTGAATGCAACAGACTGGCCTTTGACAAACTGTGTATGAAGGAAGCTGATAGTGCGGGGGGGGGGGGCGGGCTGACGGGCGCACAAGAATGGAGCCCTAGGACAGACAGCATTAAAGACTAAAGTAGTTGTGGGGCTGAGATGGCTCAAGGTTGAAGTCCGAGGCATAGGAAAGAAGTTCTACTCTGGTTCCTACCTGTTTCCTCCATTGGCAGAAGCAGGCCCGACCAAGTCTCTGTGCCAGGAGCTGGGCACCTTGTCTCTGCAGAAGCTGGGGAGAAAGCAAATGCACATCTCATACCCAGCCACTGGGGAGGCTGCATGGGGAGGCTCCACCCAACTCAGTGTCCTGCCATGAGCTGTCCCAGATGCCAAGGGTTCCTACGGCGGTGAGGAGGGCTCCACAGTTTCCCCGGATCTGAAAAGCCAGAAGTTAGGGAAAAAGAGATTGCTCTTCTGAGCAGCCTTCTGGGGTAGACTTGATTCTGGGGCTGGCTGTTCCTACCTTCAGTGGATGCCTCGAACAGCTCCTGCAGCCTTGTTCCCACAGAGTCACAAAGCGCCAGCACCCATACTAGTTGCCTAGAGGTCTGTCTGGAGACCCCTCCCCAAGGCACCGGCACCTGGCCAAGACACCCGACTCCTGCAGAGCCTGGAAAGCTGCTACCACACCGCCTCACCTTTTTTCTGACACATCCCAGATGGTATGCCTTCCACTGGGCCATCCCTTCCACCAGCAGCTGCCGGCGATGATGCTGAGCCGCCTGTTCCAGCAGGAACCTCTGCTGGGCTTCTCTCTGGCTGCAGGACCACCAGCGCCGAAACCAGATCCGGAGACGACCTGAAACAGATATAAACCAACTGGCAGCTGTGCAGGATTTTCATTCATGAGTGACTTTGTAGCAGGGAAGGTTAGACAGTAGAAAGGTGGTGTGAGATGACGCCCAGCCTTCTGCGAGACAGAAACACCACAGGGTCCAGGGCCACTGTGGAAGGCCAGGTCTGACCATCTCTGCACTCGGGGGAACTGGAACCACAACCTCTTTTTGCTGCTGCCTCCCCAAGCGCTGTCCCCACACCTGTCCAGTCACCGCAGGGGTGCCCACAGAGCCACACAAGGGGACTAGGCATGTGGAAGGAGACTCTTGGTCCCCAAAGGGAGCTTCCTGCTGGAGCCCAAGCTTGGAGAGGGTATAGGTTCATCTGAAGTCAGCTGAGCCTGAGGTCTGACCGGAAAGTGATAAACTGTCGACTCTCTGGGCCCCACTGCGTAGACTTGTCCTGGGGATGCCTCATACAGGACGTACTTCTTGACCCATTCCCATGCAGAGGAGGCAGCCGTCATGAGCCATATCCTAAGTGCTCTCTACCAGCCATCTGACCGCCTCTTGGGTGCAGCTTTAAGTGTACCTATCTCTTTAGTTAACACTACACCGTCCCTAAGCAACTACCTAAAAGGAAGGCTACAGCCCCACTTTACAGGTGATAAAATGAGGGCTGGAACCCCCTGAGGGTACAGCGCCAGGTGATGTGACTATGGGCCTGTACTTTTAGTATGTATGTATGTATGTATGTATGTATGTATGTATGTATGTATGTATGTATGTATGTAAGTATGTATGTATGTATGTATCTATCTATCTATCTATCTATCTATCTATCTATCTATCTATCTAT